TAATGGAAACAATATTTCTGTCTATGAATAAAATAAAATGAATGTAATTTGAAACATAAATTATAATCAAAAGACAACTAAATAAAAATGTCTTTAATATTTTTCATAATTATTAAGTGTAGGGGTAAGTACCTGAAATTATAAAACTAAAATCTTGTTTTTATCATTATTTAACTACCAGAGATGGTGGAAAGCCTCAACTGGCATCGCTCCAAAGAGTCCACCCACCACTTTAATCTCACTCTGATCTTGTTCTTAGGTCTGGCATAGTAACTAAAAATTTTATAATATTCCCTGAAAACCTTTTGTCTGGTAACTTTTAAGCAACATTTAAATTTGCAACAATGGATTATACAGCAGTGGGGAATATGTTTCCGTACAGTAAAAGTCTTTGTGAAAGTTCTGTAACTAAATTAAATGATACAAGTCCTCTACAGTTATCTTCTTCAACGCCATGTGCCAACACAGTGCAGAGCTGGCACCTAAATTCTACTATCACAGATATTAATCATGCATATGACTCTGGATGCTGTGGGTCCTCAGCAAAAGAAAGCCTCAAGTCAAAAGTACATGACTCCCTGTTATAACTTTAAATATTCTAGGAATCCCAAGCCAGGTACAAAGCGGTGCTCTACCTGTATTGTGACTTCGACTGAGAACATTGTCGGGCGGCAGAAAGGAATACTTCAAGGACCTCCTTAATCCCGCATCTTCCAAGGAGGAAGCAGAGTCTGGGGACGAGGGGGGCCAATCACCTATCTCTGGGGGAGAGGTCACTGAGGCAGCTATTCTGTGGAGTGTTATGGTGGCAGAGCCCCTGGGTGGATGAGGTCCTCCCTGAGTTCTTGAAGGCTCTGAATGTTGTAGGACTGTCTTGGTTGTCACAGCTCAGGTGACAGATCGGGGGCGGTACCTTGGATTGGTGGTTCCCATCTTTAAGAAGGGGAACCGGAGGGTGTATTCCAACTAGAGGGGATCACACTCCTCAACCTCCTTGGGAAAGTCTATGTCAGGATGCTGGAATGGAGAGTCCATCCGTTAGTCCAATCTCGGTACAGGGTGAACAATGTGGGGTCTTTTTCCTAGCCGTGGAACACTGGACCAGCTCTTTATCCTCTCAAGGATACTTGAGGGTGCATTTGGAGTTTGAACAATCAGTCTACATGTGTTTTGTGGACTTGGAGAAGTCATTCGACCGTGTCCTTTGCCGTGTCCTGTAGGAGGTTCTTCGGGAGTATGGAGTGTAAGGCCCATTGCTATGGGCCGTTTGATCCTTGTACAACCGATGCAAGAGCTTGGTCCACATAGCTGGCAATAAATGGGACTCTGATGGACTCTGCCAAGGCTGCCCTTTATCACAGATTCTCCTTTCACTTCGGTGGTCTCAGAATTTCATCTCTGCTTTTTGCAAATGATGAGGTTCTGTTGGCTTCATAAGGAGATGGCCTCCAGCTTGCAGTGGAACAGTTTGCATTGTGAAGCAGTAGGAATGAGAATCAACATCTCCAAGTCTGAGGCTGTGGTCCTCAGCCCGGACAAGTTCCTGACCCAAGTGGAGGGGTTTAAGTATCTCTGGGTCTTGTTCACAAGTGATGGGAGAAGGGAGCGGGAGATCGACAGACAGATTGGTGCTGCATCTGCAGTGATGCGGACGCTGTACCAGTCCGTCGTGGTAAAGAGACAGCTAGGTGTAAAAGCGAAGTGTCTGGGTGCCTCCTGGTGTTCTGGACATGTCCTACTGGGAGGAGGCTCAAGGCCGACCCAAGACATGCTGGAGAGATTCTGTCTTTCGGCTGGCCTGGGAACACCTTGATGTTCCCCCTGACAAGCTGGGGGAGACCAGGGAGAGGGAGGTCTGGACTACTTTGCTTAGGCTCCTACCCTTGCGACTCAGCCCCAGATAAGTGGAAGAAGACGGACGGATGGACGGACATGTTCTAATCTATCCATACATCCGTCCATCCAGATTCCGTTCTGATCTCTGTAATAAAATATGAGTTGACAGTACTGAATGCTGCACTGGTATCTGGCAATGCGATAAGTGTTTACTAATATACCATCTACATATAATGTTACACTGTGTGTTGAAAACTGACCTTTATTTTGTAGTTATTTGTTTACATTAATGTCATAATTACACAATCACAATGATTAATTCAATTCAGTTTTATTAATATAGCACAAAACATAACAACAGTTGCTTCAAGGAGGCTTTATACTGTAAGGTAGAGACCCTAGAATAGTACAGAAAAGACCCCCTATGAGCAAGCACTTGGTGACAGTGGGAAGGAAAAACTCCCTTTTAACAGGAAGAAACCTCCAGCTGAACCAGGCTCAGGGAGGGGCGGGGCCATCTGCTGTGGCCGGTTGGGGGTGAATGATGGAAGACAGGATAAAAGACACACTGTTGAAGCAAGTCTGATGTTAATAACTAATAATTATATGTTTATTCCTGAACTTTTTTTAAAGATCAATTATGACAGAATATACACTGAAAATGTCAGCACTTGTGTTACTTCAACACTGCAAGTCAGCGTACTAGTAAAGAAATTCATGTGCATATAATTGTACTGAAATCGATCAATCAGTCACTGAAGAATTTGTGCAGCATGATTTATGGTCCTGCAAATGTGTATGTCTGCATTTACATTGAAAAATAATGTGCATAAATGTAGATGGTTACAATTACCCCAGGAATTGTGGAGGGATGAAGACAGGAAAAACAGTTAAAAATCCCAACACTGTGATGCTAAGCTTTGCCACATCCAGCCCTTGCATACCTTCCGGCAAGAAGCAAGAGTCCCTTAAATCAATGCCTGAGCTAACTGTGGTTAGAAGTGAACGGGTGAGGCTGGTTACAGCAATAGGATCAGTGTATCAGTGAACCAGAAATAATACCTCAATTTAGAGTATTCTACCTTATGAGTAGCATAGAAACAACAAGCAATAATCCTTCCATGTGAGGTGGACTTGTATAATTAAACAGAATAATACAAATGTTCCTATCCTAACAATAGCTTCCCTGTTAACAACCTTAAAAAGCATCCCTACCATATGCCTTACAGCATTAAGTTCCTTGAGGTTGGGACTTTGCACTATATAAATAAAACTGAATTGAATTGAATGTCCTGGGGTAAATATAGCATGAAGTGTGTGGTGACTGAGGTAAATTATTATCTTCTACACCCAATTATCATTTATCATCAACCTTAATTATCATTGATTAAAAAGAAATACACAAAACACAAAACCTAAATTTAATGAGCTAAATTAAATTTTTATCATTGTCTTTTATAAAACTTTCATTAAACAACTACTACAAAATAAAGCAGCCCTCCCTGAGTATTTAGTGTTCTAAAGAGCTTTACAACACAAAATAGAGACACATTTCAGATAAAAACTTAGTGCAACATTTTATCGCACATATTTCAGTATAGCGATAGCAATAGATATGTTTTGCAATAAGCACATGGGTTTTTGGCATTCAGACTTTCTATAATGGGTTATAAAAAGTGGTCAACATCAGCCACTAATATCTTATGGAAGCCATTAACATAAAACAAATTCTGTTAAATGTTATTTATATCACAACAACAATTGCCTCAAGGTGCTTCATATTCGTACAGACCCGACAATAATAAAAATATGTGCGTATTGATGTTGTGACTCTGTTTGAAGGTTTAAAGGCCTCAGTGAAAACACAAAACAGCAGATTCTTTAGAAGATGGCAAATCCAAAATACATTTCAACCTAATGATACAGAATTTTTCTGTACAACATAAATGCTCTCTTAATTCAAAATTAACTGTATCGTCCAGTGTAAAAGTCTTGATTTAAGTGTCCGGATCAGTTTTTACAATTCTTTAAATGAAGGCCTGCTCACACTTACAAACAGAGGACAAATCCTATAAGTTGTGCTTCATTTAGAGATGCAAGATTTGATGATGCTGTAATGAGTCGATGTCAGTTTGATGAATAAAAATAGCTTTCTGTTTTTATGAGAATGAAAGCGTCTGAAATGAAGCTAAAATGATCGAGTATCAGTTCATGCTTGAAAAAAGTGGCACTGGTTTGTTAATAATAAGCAATGGAAATTTGCTAACATTAGTTAAGTATTACTTTAGAATTTGCACTGTTATTATAGTTACCAGAGGCTGTATGCTGCCTGAGGATGTCACCATAAAAACATGGAATTTCGATATATCACACCCATGTGTTTAAAGTTCCTGAACAGCGCTTCGTGATGCGACTTCATTACCTAAAACTACTTTTTGACTCAAATGTCAGGAGACTAGAACAAGAATACCAAGTGACAGAAAATTACATTATAGAGTAAATATATTTGTACGTGTTGCACAGAATAAATGCAGAATAAATTCTAGCCTAAATAGGTTTTTTTGGCGCTCTCAAAGACGCACGCCAGTTACCAAAAGGTGTGTTGTAACTTTTCGAAGAAGTTATATACAAATTATACTACTTTTCTAAATACCTTGAGGGTATTAAGTGTTACCGGTGATTTCCCATTCATATGACAATCATGTCACATTTTAGGCTCGGAAATAACATTATTATCTTAAACGTTTCACTTTCTTCTTCTTGTGTAAGTTTAAAGGTTCTGCCAAGTTAAATAAATACATTATAGCATCGTCATCATGCGCACTGAGCAAACGCTGTGATAAATAAAAGACTATTCATTTCGCCCATATTGCACACTCTTTTGATCCTCCGCATGTTTTATGAACTCCCCTCTCTCCCACTCAGTTGTTGGGAGTCCCTCAGGTAAATTGGCCTGCAAACACATAAATTCAACACAGCCCTTGTAGCGGATAGATGAGACTCTGCTGCCCATTGTAACTCCCACACAACACCGTGGATTCCAGCAAACTTCTTGTACGCCTCTTTAGAGAAAAGGCCTCTCTTTTCATTTGTCCGTGTATACCCCTGACCAAGCTAAGTCTTTTCTTTTTCCTCTCTCCGTCTTTAATCCGTCCCTCTATTTCAGGAAGAAAAAAACACAAAACCAGTTCACGCAGTGCTTTAGTAGCTAAAAGTAAAAGAGCTTGTGTTCTCCCCACCACCCCCCCACGCAGCGCTGAGCCCTGAATCGCTCTGGAAAATTGCTTCTTTTGAATAGGGGGAAGGAGGAACAACGTTTAATAGGATCCAAAGGGAGTCTGTGCTCTTAAACAGGTGGAAATTGGACGTCCTCGAATTTATACAAATAGTAAGTTTATAAGCCGGCGAGGAAAAAGACGGATCCCATCTCCGAGGATTAGCAGCTCTCTCCGAGAAAAAAAAAAGATTACTGTGTTGTTAACCAAATGAAAGCAGGAGACTCACTCAGCTCCTCCAAAGCGCGATTAATGATGAAAACACAATTGTGCAGCAGTTTTACTGATGGAATGGTTTCATATTTACGTGCCATCCCCTCTATAGATTTGTCTCCCTGTCACCCAGTTAGGTGCTTGGGTGCCCGATTATGTCAAGAGACAGTGATCTGCACTGATGAGGGGCGGGCGCTGCCAAGGTCTGACAGAGAGCAGTCGGCTGGTTTCTCCACTCCCATCTGAACAATAAGAAGGTAAAGTACAACACAGACGTAACTTTGGCTTAACTCGGTGTCCAGGAGCTCCGGCTACAACATTTCTTGCCCTCTGTTTCCTCCTCCTCCTCTTCTTCTTCTCCTTAACGAGCCCTGTAATGTCTGTTAATTTTGTGTGTGCTAGTTAATGAGCATTAATCCATCACCCCTGGATGCTATTGTTGCGAGGCGGGGGCCATTTGAATGCAAATGCGTGACACTGTGACAGCAAGGTGCTTATTAAACTGATGTGTCCGCCTGTCTTTTCTGCTGGGAGCTCAGGGGAGTGAAAAGACGCGGGGCAGCTGGACTATACACGGAGTTGCTCACACCAAGTTCTGTTCGGCTGCAAAGCGAAACTACTACAGCGGCAACAAAATGGCAAGTTCAGCCTCTTTAGACACGGTGGTGTCCTGCGGGAGGACTGCGCCGTCCGCGGCTCCCAAAACGCTGGCTTTCTCCATCGACTGGATCATGTCCAAGAGCTCGGAGCCGAAAGGGAACGCGGAGGAACGTTCAGAGGGGAAAAAACTGCTAGGGCTCTGCTCCCCAATCCCCTGCATGATCCCGCTACAGCCCTTCAGCTACGACCTCCAAGCCAAGGCGCTGATGAGCTATTCGGAGCTGTGGAGAGCCAGTTTTAGGGGAACTTTGTGCGGCTCGCCAGCTGCTCCGTGCAAAGGAAACTGCGGGTTGTGCGGCAAAGGGGATCCGAGCCTGAAGCAGCAGCTGCTGACGTCAGGGAGCAGGGTGGTAAAACCTCAGGTCCTGAACCAGGCCGTGCCCAGCAGTGGCTCGCTCTACTATTTCAATTACCTGGACTCTGCGTACCAGCAGTCGGAGCTGCTGGCCGGCCACTGGCTCTCCAGCCCGCAGGCCCAGGCCTCTCTGTCGGCGCACCACAGACTTTTGCTGCTGGAGAATGCCAAACTGACCGGTGTGGGCACCGACAAGCTGCCCACACCTCAATACCCACACAAGGAACATCTGCCAGGGCAGCTGGACCAGATAGTGAAAGAGAGCCACGGCCTGACAGCTGAGAAAAGCGGCATAAAGACACACAGCAAACTCAGCGGCAGTGGCAGTGCGGACGGAAAACCCAAAAATTTCACCTGCGAAGTGTGTGGAAAGGTACGGTTTTAATGCATTTTTGTACATTGTTATTATATTCTATATTTTATATTCTATATTTTATATAAAACATGAACAAATGCGCCAGCATCTACACACCTATATAAACTCAATAATGAACTTTTGAGGCCGATGTTAGTTTTTTTTCTTCCTTTTTCTGACGCTTGTTTTAAAAATGCAGGTCTTTTGTCTTTTTAGAATAATGTTTACTCATATTTTGTATGCCTTTGTGTCGTCTGCAGGTTTTTAATGCGCATTACAATCTTACCAGACACATGCCGGTGCACACGGGGGCCCGGCCCTTCGTATGTAAGGTGTGCGGTAAAGGATTCCGGCAGGCCAGCACGCTGTGCAGACACAAGATCATCCACACGCAGGTGAGACACTGTTTCACTGTGACCTTTCCAGCTTTTTGACTTGACTTTGTTTGAATTATTTTCTCTCATTTTGACCTGTAAGGAAAAGCCTCACAAATGCAACCAGTGTGGAAAAGCGTTCAACAGAAGTTCGACGCTCAACACTCACGTCCGGATCCACGCAGGGTATAAACCATTTGTGTGCGAGTTCTGCGGGAAAGGCTTCCACCAGAAAGGTAAATACTGGGCGCTGGAGTCCTCTTTAATCAGCTGTATTATATTACTGACTGGAAATTGTATCCTGATGTGATGTTTCCTATTTTCAACACTGCGGTGATTCAGAGTGTTCATGTGCAAACGAACAAAAAGCTTTCTCTTCAGCTCGTGTTATTATTCCACGAATTTATTTCATGAAATCTGCTGCCGTGCAGCCTAGTCATTATTTTTGCTGGGTTGAGCAGTCAGCTTTTAGAAATCCACAACTCGGTGGAGAACTTCCTCACTAAGAGGAGACGTGATTGAAATAATTGCTACACTGGCTGATGGACTCTGTGCTTTAATTGTGCTGGATGCTGTTTAACATCTCGCGCACATTGTTTAGAATCGAATAAAATAATCATTTATTGTCATATACAACGAAATTGTGGGTTCTCAACTTGACTACTGACGAAAAATATAAATACGAAAAAATGCCATTTTATTTTATTTTATTGTTTTTGTTAAGCTGGACTTGAGATTTGGAGCATAAATGCACTAATAATTTTATAGCATTATGCACGAAGATTCCGATTATTCTGCCCGCTCAATATTGCGGAAGTTCGCAGCCGAGCAGAGCTCTTTATGCAGACTCGCTGGAGTTAGTGTGGCGACATCGGCGCTCATCCTCAACATTTGGCATCTGCGCTGCCGAAATAAATAACGTCTGCGGTAAAAGCAGAAAAAGCTTATATTTGAAGTAGTCAAAGGGGAAATAACTGTGGGCTCACCGATGAGCACGAATCGGTGGGTGGAAATGAGACTTGTCACTTTACACGGACTAATTCTACCTTCGAGACTGTCGCATTTTCCCCGGGTCATTAGTCAGACCCCGGCAAAGTTGGAAACCGGCCTCCTTTAGTTGCGGCTGCGCTTGATTTTGACAAAGTTTGACAACTTTTTGACTTCGGCACACAAAAAGCCGATTAATGAAGGCTGTGGGGTGGAGGAGGCTCCAGCTGAACTGCTGGTGGAAAAAGAAAAATCGCAGTTGTAAAACGCGTTCCCTCTCTGCTTTTTTTTTTTTTTTTTTTTAAATGTGTAGATGTTTCGCAGAAAAATTTATATTCAAATTTTGTTCAAGCGGTTTTATTTTTCAGATTCTCCTGATTAAATTATTTTCTTTGGCCAGATTGGAGTGAAATGTTTAGCTGTGTAATTTCAGGGTAAAAACGATTAACTCAGACCAGGCGGATTTTTTTTTAAATTAACCCAAGTTCCCCTGAAGCTGACTCTCCTCAGCTCTGACGGGCTCATCAGCGCATCTGCTCTCTGATATTAGAAGCCGTGAAATCTACAATATTTCTGAGGTATTGAGTGCATTTTTATCCCCTTTTTCTATTTTCTAATACTGGTTTTAGGCCGTTTTATACTAGAGGAAGGAAAGCTGGTTATGGTCAGACGACTGGTTTTCACACAGATGCACTTTTTTCGTTTGACCTGGAGTTGTTTCTATTGACACTCACACATCAGCGAGACATGAACGTTTGATTTCGTGCTGCGAAAAGGCCACGGGTTAAATAAGCAGATGTTAAAAGGGTGGCAAAAATTCTAATGTCACACCTTTCCCCCTTTGAATCCTTTTTTTAACTCCTTCTCAGAAGAATTGTGAAGACAAAGTGAAAAGACTGTGATAAAAATGACATTGTGTTTTAATTCATATACTCTTATTTCGCAGGAAACTACAAGAACCACAAGCTGACGCACAGCGGGGAGAAACAGTACAAGTGCTCCATCTGCAATAAGGCCTTCCACCAGATCTACAACCTGACCTTCCACATGCACACACACAACGACAAGAAGCCCTTCACCTGCGCCACTTGTGGCAAAGGCTTCTGCCGCAACTTCGACCTGAAGAAGCACATCAGGAAGCTGCATGACAATGGCTTCTCGGCGGCTTCAGAAGCCTCCAGAGAGCTGCAGAGCTGAGCCATTGCTCGTTTCCTGCTATGACTTTTTAGTTTTTAAGGTCTGACAAGGAAGTGAGGGAGTTCAAAAAACTGGACCCGAATCTTTGAAAAGAAATGAGGTAATCGGCTCCCGTCAGTGTCTCAGCAGGAATGCTGCAGCGAACAAAAAACAGACAACATCCGCCCAACACTGTCGCGATGTTTTGGGTCCACATAGAATTTCTTTCTGCATTTCCACAGACTGAAAGAGAAACCCCCTGTCTCCACGATGGAACTGTAAATAACGATAATAATAATCATAATAATAATAACGTGAATCATCTGGGGAATGCATCGCCATGTTGTTTATTTCATTGAAAAACTGTTCCTGTGAATAAATAAGTTAAATTATATTGAAACTGAATGTCTGAGCCATGTTTGCATTTTGAAGGTATTTGAAAATAAAACAATTATATGATCAAAGTTTATTCTGAAACACTTTGTAAGGTGCAAATATCACATTTAGACAACACACACGTGCCCGCAAGAAAAAACCCGTAAATGAAAACAGAGAAGGCCGCGAGACAACCAAAGTGTGTGATATTCAAAGACGAAGTAACTAAAACAAACGACATTTGGAAATATAGTGGAAAAACGGCACAACCTAAAAAATAAAAACAGCGAAAAAGTCTCATTTGCTTCTTATCTTTCATTAATTCTATTTGTTACATTTTCCAGCAAATGTAAACTGGGAGGCACGCGTGCACGAGCGCAGACGGTACTGGTATTTTGGAGCGCGGGTACTGTATGCTCTGCGGCCACTTTTATTCAACATTTACTGACAGACACGATCTTAATAATACTGCATTTACACTTGACTCTGGCTTAATGGCACAAATGATCAGATATAACACGAGGCTCTTGAAAGCGAATTACATTAAGCAGCTAAACAGCCTCGGGAGAAGGAGCGGTGGGGGTGGGGGCCACGCCGTCATCCGGAGCCGCTCATCAGAACAGGAGATAATGGAGCACTCGGGCCGCAGCTCCTTATCTGGGCCTCCGCGTTAATAGAGCTCAAGTTATTCTCCGCACGGCTTCTGGAACAATATTATCCCTGCACACATTCTGTCAAGAGGCCGATCCGTGCTCCCAAATGGCGCTCATTTCATTAACAGCCAATTAGCGCTCACCCGGGTCGGCCAGGCCCTCAGAAGCTTGGCAGGGCTAATATTAGCAGATGAATGCCCCGCTCACCTTTTTCATCAGTGTGCACCAGACATCTGCAGGAAAATCTAGCCAGTCCGCTCAAACAGACCGTATAAAGGGCTCTGTGCTGATGTGTGCGGCTCCGATAACACAAACACTTAAACCAGATGATCTTTTAGTTATTATAGGAATTATTAGGAAATAACTAAAATATCTCCGCAATTTTGAGGTCTTCAGTTGACGCACCACGCTGTTGCTGAATTTTCCATCAAATCGCGAATACTTATCCTGTCAGAGGAATAAAGTCGATGTTTTTGTAATCATGTGGCATTTGTGCGTCACGCGCCACCTCTCAAACAAAGGGAACACTGCTCAAACGTGTCACTTTATTTCCTGTTTCAAGAGTGGGAGAAAGGTGTTTTGTGTCCTACGTGCCGATAAACGACAAAGACTCGCAGATCCAATACTTGAAAGATGACCTCGGTGCGCGCCTTCTCCATGCGTGCACGAGCATCCAGCAAACGGAATACTGTTACATCAGGCAGAGTGTAGGATCTGTGTGAGAGGCAGTTTGTGTCTTTTACCAACGCAATGCGTGTGGTCACACGCGCGCGCGCACTGACACACACAGGGTCTACGGGCTGTAGGACTGAACAACGTCTGCTCAGTAAATAACCTAAAGGCAGGTTGGCCTTTTCTCCGCACTTTTTCTTTTTTCTCCAGCATCTGAGCAACCGCCTCAACATCCACAAACACGTTAACTGACTGGTGCGCGGGAGCTTTAATTAAGGCGCGCCCACGCGCAGCAGATTAAAGGTTTTTTTTCCTTTCTGGGGTGGAGCGCTAATCAGTTGTCAACAACATGAGGACATCTTTCTTTTTGCTCTCTCCACCACCGGGGGATCGCTGGGGGATTCAGGCAATTTACGGACTACAAAGGAGCTCGTCTGAGACAGGAAGAGAAGAAAAGCAAGAGGCGGACTTTTTGTCTGTCCCAGTGAACTGATTGTAAATGGGAGATTAGCGGGGAAGCTTCGCCAGTCCAGCAAGTGCCCGATCGAGGAGGAAGGAGAGAAAAAGACCAATTAAGTCTACCAAATGTTAACTTACACCAGTTTCCCCCCAGTTTAGCCCACATGAAATTCCAATTAAAGCGTCCCGGTAGCAGCTTTTTTCTTTCAAAGAAGGCGGAGGGGTTAGAGTGCTTGTGTCACTCTAGCCAGGGGACAACGTTCCCACAATATCTGAGACAGGAGCTCGTTAAAGTAATACAAGGGCAATATGCGATGTTATCCCCAGTACAAGGTTGTGATTCCTTGGAGAAGCAAAACCGCTAAATACCATTGACTAACACCAGCACAACAACTAACGGATGATGGTGATGGAAATGAAAACACAGTCAAACAAGATTTAATCTAACAGCTGACTGTGTGTGTGTACTCTTCATTGAGCATTTGAATGAACAACGTTTTAATCAACTTGTTTTTATCATGCCTATGTAACAAAAGTCAGCTAGATTTATAGTTTTATATAATGCGAGCATTAAATTGAATTCACAAAGGAGAGTGCAGAAAACACATTTTCACAGCCAGTCAAAACCAGCCTACAGTGCATGTTTGTTGTGCCAGATATTCAGCAAGACTAACAGTAAATGAAATAAACAAGAAAAACAAGATAACTATAAAAGGAGATTAGACATCAAAATGCTATATCAGAAGGAGTTATGGCCATCTCTCCCTTAGCCTGCTTCTGCTGGGCTGTTCTTCCTGTTAAATGGGAGTTTTTCTTTCCCACTGTTGCCAAGTGCTTGCTCGTTGCGTTTGATTTATACTATAAGCATCTTCACCTTAAAATATAAAGCACAGTGAAGCGGCTGTTGTGATTTGGTGCTATATAAACGTTGCATTTGCTTTTCCACAAGCACATTCAAAGTTTATACTAAGTTTGTGCTTAGAAAGGCTGGGACCGCTTTGTGGCGTTGTTTCTTAACAACGCCACAAAGCGGTGCCTTGCCACCCCACCCTCGTTAGTGAACCACTAGCCCTTTGAGACCATGAGCCTCCATTGTAAAGTACTGAGGGTTAATGAGCACTGGTTTCTCTTCAGTCTGTAGCTGTGCAATCAAAGGAAACAGAGATACTGACATGAGATGTTTAAAAACAACATTATTGTACATTTCTCATAAAGGAGCTAGTCTAACATTATGCTCTGATTTGGTTAAAAAAAATACCAGAAATGCCGAACTTGCTTGTCCAAAGACCAAAAAGTCCAAGATGATGGATAGAAATGAGCCACTCAAGATGCAGTGAACAGGCACAGCGTTCACTCACACCTCATTTAGATTCTTTTACAAAGTCATCCCAGAACCTTCCTCCACCAAAACCTCATCACAATGTCTTAAGGACAGTAGTGAGGAGCCTGTCCCTTGGATATGCCTGCTCATCTGCTTTGGCCTGTCAAGGGCATGGCAGGCTGAGAGGATGTGTTTTGTGGCTGGGAGGGAAGCGTGGGCTGCTGGGAACTGAGCAGTGAGGGAGCTCTCATCACTGATTTGTTGTCAGACTCCATTCTCTGACCTCCATCCGTCTGTCCATCCATGCAGCTATCTAGTCTGCAGCTCAGAAGCTGCGGGGGGAACCTGTAGTGGACGAGGGTGGTGAAGCTTCAGGTTTCTGTTAGTCAGAGACTGAATTTAGTTATTTTTATTGTTTGACCACACTGAAAAAAATATGTTGTTGGATTTACTTAATTCAATGGTGGACATTTGTTGCACACAGATGTTTTGCTTTGGCAGCAACTTAAACAATTGAGTTAAATTAACACAATTTATTCATGTTCAATAAACCTGTGCAATTTGTGTTGATAAAATGTGACTTAAACATGTTTTGATGAAGTAATTTGAGCTCTTGGAATATTTTAATCCTTCACAATTTTTTCACTTTATCCCAACACCATTCAATAACTTTTACCCAATACTACTTGGTCACTTAAATACTACATGTTATCTTCAAATTACATTTTGCTATTATATTCTAGTATCAAATACACAATTTTCAAATGGAGGCCTTATAACAGATTGTATTGTTCTCTTCCAAGATGGTTGCTGGCATCCACCAGTAACCTTTAAAAACAAAATGTCTAATTTCACTGCATTGATAGTAGGTAAAGAATTAAACTGACATTACTCCTCCACTGAATCTATATAAATCAACAGTTAAATAATGTCAGTTCTTCCGTGTTCTCTGGAATCAATCACAGCAAAGAAATTAGACTCTTTCTTTTGAAAAATGTTACAGGACAATACAAAACATTCTATTTAAGGCCTCTGACGTCAAGATTCAGTTAAACAACAATTATAACTAAACAATTTGAGAAAATGTTAGTTTCCATTAACATTAAATTAGGTTACTGAATTGGCAAACACCTTCCTATTAACATTACCCATTTTACCCCAATAACTAAAGAAATTAGCACTTGCAGGTCAAAAACTTTATTCAAGAGACGCAAAAATAACATTGATACAGTGACTGTCAAAAATTACAGCACTGATCATACTGTGACATCTTGGTTCAAAACAGCATACTTATTATATACTTAAATATTCAACGTTCTTTACATCAACCGAATGAAACTGAAAATACCATTTCACATGACCCATATGGGATATTTAGACTGTATAACTGTTCACGCTACATCTCTTCACTAGTAAAAGAAAGAAAAATACAAACAGAAATTGAAAAATGCTGCCAAACAGACAAACAGAACTTGTACAGAGCAACAGGAAAAACAAACAACAACAACAAAAACGGCTCGTCCTCATGGCAGTTGCAGAGTATATAAAAATGAACCCTGCGATCTGCTCCTGGAATTGAGCTTCAAAAATGCAGCAGAACAAGTGTGAGATTTAAATGTCCTCTCACCTAGAGCTGATCACCTTGCATGCATAACAGTGAGCTTTCCTTGCAGGAGCAGTTTTGTCTTAGTTGTGAGCTTTTCTTGAGAGCTGAGTTGCATCCAACTCCATTACCACCCATTGAATCACCTCAAAAGTGTAGCAGAGCTGTGATGGGTAACTCATATTGAAGGAATAAAAAAGGTCCAAACAGCATGGCTACTGCAAAGGTCACGTTATCCAGATCTTGAAGAACTACTATACCCTCGATGATGATGCCAACATCAGAAAAGTCATTGCCTGCTGCATCTCTGGAGACAGATGTTCATTGTGGTTTTCTCAATCTGTGCAGTGGCCTCAGTCAAGTCCTGGTTAAACACAAAACATTTTTTTAAGATTCCCTTTTAAACTCATCTCTTTTGAATCTACCAGTTCTAATGTTAGAGTAATTTAAACCATAGTAAATAGCTATAGCCA